CTGTTCTGCAATTTCGAAATGCGTTGTATTTTCTTTACTCGCTCAATTTCATTTCGATACAAATGAAGCAAATCAAAAAAATCCGTACATACATATGCTTGCAAACATGTGTGTGCGTGTGTGTATGTTCTATTTGCTGATATAAATAAATAAAATTTATGATATTTTCTGACAGTAACAAATGCAAAAATTAATTCTTTTAACAACAAATACTTTGTTGACAATAAACACAGCGCAATAATAATGCATTTTTCGATCCCAATGCGTTCTGTACTCCATGTATATATGTGAGTGTGGATGTGTGTGTTTGGTCTTTCGGTCGGTCACTCATCTTCTGTACATAATCAGCCATGTTGCCGATTTGTGTAAATTGCGACACGCACACACATATCCCTGCCAAAGATAAATGGAGCACAAATGTCATAGATTATTATTTTTTCAATATTGATTGTTTGTTATTCGGTCAATACGAAAGGGGGACAAAAACAGGGAAATTGAGAAAAAATATAAAAAAAAATATCGAAATGAAAGGGGAAAGTTAAAATGTTTCACATTAAAATTAATAAATTGTCAGCTTAGCATTAAATTGCATTTATTTGCTTGTTTAGCAAATCATTAAAAAGAATGGCGTGATAAATGGAGAAAGACGGTGGATTTGGCTGGTATATATAGCAAGGGGATCGTAAAGTAAATTTTGTCTAAATATATATATATATATATATATATATATATATATATATATATATATATATATATATATATATATATATATATATATATATATATATATATATATATATATATATATTTTTTTTTTTTTTTTTTTTTTTTTTAAATTTAATTAGAAAAAAAAGGGAATATGAAAATTGTGAATATGTAAAAGAAGAAAATCAAAACTCCTAAGAAATGTAAACAAGTACTGAGTTACACTCATTGAAAGAAAAATTAAAAAAAAATCAAAATACCTCCATATTTCAAAAATTAACTAAATTTTAAAAATATCTGTCAAAATATATAAAAATATACGTGGACTTAATAAAATATTAAAAAATTTAAAAACGTAAAATTCATTTTTTTTTTTTAAGAAAACTACGTTTCTTATAAATGTGCTTTAAAAACCCACGTCCTTTAAAATCCAAATCCTTTAAAATCCAAGTCCTTTAAAATCCACTTCCTTTAAATCCACTTTCTTTAAAATCCACATCCTTTAAAATTCAAGTCCTTTCAAATCCAAGTCATTTAAACCCCACATTATTTAAAATCCACGTTCTTCATAAAGCCATGTCCTTTAAAATTCAAATCCTTAAAAATCCACGTCCTTAAAAAGCCACGTCATTTAAAATTCAAGTCCTTTAAAATTCACATCCTTTAAAATCGAAGTCCTTTAAAATACACGTCCTTTACAATCAAAGTCGTCTAAATTCACGATTTTTAAAAGCCACGTCCCTTAAATACACGTCCATTGAATCCAGATCCTTTAAAAGCCACGTCCTTGAAATGCGCGTGAATCCACATCCTTTAAAATCCATGTCCTGTAAAATCCACTTCCTTTACAATCCAAGTCCTTTAAAATCAACTTTTAAAAACCGATTTTCTTTCAAATCCACGTTCCTTAAAATCAACATCCTTTTAAATCTACGTGCTTGAAAAATCACGTCGTTTAAAATACAAGTTCTCAAAATTCCGAAAATTTGGAAGGTATTGTTACACGAAGGCGTGGATTTGTACATGCGATTTTTTGTCATGGACAATACCCACTGCGAACTCAAAATTCCGAATTTTAAATAATTTTGGTAAAAAAAAATCTTTAGTTTTATGGGATTCATTGTTATTCGAAACTTTGACAATTTGTGGGGGAGCTACCAGAAGGAGTGGACCATCTTCACAGCAGATGTTCTGTTAATAGAAATAATGGGATGTGTGAAATATGAAGAGAAACGAGTGCTTTTTCGGATTTTAAAATCGCTTTGGTTATTCAAAACTCTGACCCTTTGTGGGTGAGCTACCAGAAGAAATGGTTCGATCTCTATCATCGTTGTAACAGATCTTCTGTTGATAGAAATATTGAGATGTACCAAGTCTAAATGGAATCGGGTGTTAACTTCGCGTTTTATGAGCTTCATAGATATTCAAAACCATTTGTGAGGGAATTACCAGAAGGGGTGGACCGATGTATATTCCATCTTCAACCAGACCTTGGGTTAATTCACATTTTATACGAGTTATATTTATTCAAAATTTTGACCATTTGTGGGAGAAGTACTTGATGTAGTGGACTGATATCGTTCATTTTCGCACCTGATCTAGCACTGATGCAAATATTAAGTTTCGCAAAGTTGGAGCCAAATTGGATTATTATTTCTCTTTCTGTGCAGTAAATTATTTTCTTTAAAAATGTTGAAATTTTGTATGGGAGGTACCAGAAGGAGTGTACCGATATTGTCCATCTCCGAACTCGATCTAAGTTTGACTATAATAATAATACTCCCTTCGCACCAGCCAGCCAGGCGGTCGGATGGACATCGCCAGATCGACTCAAAATGTCTAAAACGGATTTGTTTCAAAAAGACTTCGGGTATAAGGCCATATTTTGATGAGGCACGTTTTGGCCGTATCAAATAGCCATATGGCTGAGGGTATGAAGAGATTCTTTTTTTAATTCCAAAAAAATCATGCCCTTGAAAGAACCAATTGTTTTAGTGGTCCCTTAAACAAATATTTTTTAAATCTCCAAAATTTTGTTCCATATAAAAATATTTTTGAAAAAAATTCAGGTGTGTGTGGAACTAACAAAAATATTTAAAAAATAACATTTTCTTTATTCTAGAAAAAAATTATTTTAAAAAAATTTGAAGTGTTGAAAAACGATTTAAAAAAATCACATTTAGCTGGCATTTTAAAAAATAAAAAATAAAATTTAAAATCGTAGTTGCTTGAAAAAATTATTTTTTAAAAAAATCAGGTTTCTTTGGCTTCTAAAAAAATTTTAAAAAATTCCAGAACTTTGTTTCTTTAAAAAAATTATTTTTAAAAAATCCACGTTTCTTTGGTCTTTGAATAATTTTTTTTAGAAATTTATGTATTTTTGATTCTTAAATTTTTTTTAATTCTACGTTTCGCTTGTCATTGAATATTTTTTTTTTTTTTGAAATTCGGGTTTTTTTGTCTTTGATTAGTTAAGGTCTTATAAAGACACTCTGATCAAAAAAAAAATTCAAAAAATTTGTTTCTTAAAAAAAATATTTTAAAAAAAAATTCAACGTTTTTTTCTATTTGAATAATTTATTAAAAAATGTGTTTGTTTTTGGTCCTTGGAAAAAATTTGTTTTTAATTCAACGTTTCGCTTGTCATTAATTTTTTTTTTTTTTTTTGAAATTCTGGTTGATTTTGTCTTTGAAAAAAATATTTTTAAAAAAATTCTCGATTTGGTAAGTTAAGGTCTTATAATGTTTACTCCGATCAAAAAAAATCTATGTAATTGGCTTTTTTGGCATTAGTTGTTGCCACATTCCTACGAGATTAAAAAGTCCTATGAAAATAAAAAAAAAAATTTCAAAATATTTTCCACACACACGCATTCACATCCAAAATCGAATTGAGCTATTTGCCAAAGAAATTCACAGCTGAGATGTCAATAATGCCATTTAATTCGTTTCGCTACATGTGTTTCGTGTTGATGGGGAAATGTTTCTGTAATTAACGACTGAATATTCAAAACAAATCCATCAAAGCCAATGGAAATGGGTGCGCATTTATTAAATAGCTCATTGTTATTGTTGTCGGTATTCAAAATCATTTTTTTTTTATTTTGTTCCAAAACTTGCAAGTTTTTTTTATTTTATTTCATTCTTGCAGTGCTACAATAGAGCATTTATATTTTAAAATATTGCAAAATATTTTTTGGCTAAATGGCATCAACATTTTTTATTTTTTTGTTTAAAAATTGAAAGGTTAATAATCTTCATGTTAAAAAAAAACAGCTATATTGGTCACTTGAACTCGTATCTTCTTAACAATTCATCAAATTTTTTGAAAAACAAAATGTAAAAAAAAATCCAAATATTAATTTTAAACACCCTTCAAATCCCTCCCTCCACTCCTCTTGGTATCACAAATTGTTTATTTCATTTCTCTCTGTGTATTCCCAGGTACCACAAACTGCAGCTATTTCCAGCCACAGCCAGTAATGACAAAAATAACAACAACAACAACCACAATTGTTTGTTGTTGTAGATTTTTTGTTTCAAAATATTGAACGCATTGTGCTCAAGTCTATGAATGAAATAGTCCCACACAAACACACTCAGGCCCACAAACACAAGCAAATACATACAAATGTAAAATGTTGTTGACATTTTTTTCCAACAGATAAAAAATGATGAGCTGGTGCTCTTTTCAATATGTCTTACAAAATGTTCAATTAAGAATTTCGAAAAAATGAAAAAAAAAGAAAATAATTTTTCCGATTTTTTTTTGGTGTGTAGGTTTTGAAATTTTCTTTCTTTCAATTTGAAAATGAAGATATGGCACAACATGAGAATTTTCACAAAAAAAAAAGAAATGATAAAAAAGACGACATACATATATGTTTTATATATACATACATATATATCATCACCCAAAAAAATGTGTCTCCATACAAAATAGAGAAGAAACAAAAACAACATAATTCAAAAAAAAAAACTCAACGCCATAATTTACACACAAAAATCAGGCGGCAACAACAAACAACAACAATAGCAACACAGCATTAAATGCTGCAGTATACGTGCCGGTCTAGCTGATCTTCTTTTGCTCCCAACAAAAAAATATAATTTTTTAATTTTCTTCTTCTTCCCAACAACAACAACAACATATTTTCAAAATTCAAATGTCTTTCTTCTAAGCAGAAAAGATCACCAAGTAACAAATAAAAGCGTTTTTCATTTTGAAAACAACAACAAAAATCACATAGCTTTGTCGCTTTGTTGTTGCCTCCGTTTGGCGGCAGTTCTTCGTTACCTCAACAACGCTGAACAACAGCATCCATCCACAGCCGCCTCAGTTGAACGGTCGCCTCAGTTGAACGACGCGATTCATAACGTGAAAATCGTCTTCTTTTCGCAAGACATCCTTCCCACGATAGCAAAAAAAAACGATACGAATAAAAAATTTTGAAATTTTTTTTTGAAAATATTTAAAATAATTTAATCTAGACGAAATCGAGTGAAATTTTATTTCACCGCTAATTTCTTATCGAGTGAAAGGTGATTTGATAAAGTGATTAATAAAAAGATAAAAATAAAATTCGAAACGGAACGAAAATTCCAGAAACTCAAAGAGCTGTGACACAGAGGATAATAAAAAAATTATGGAAAAAATAAAAATATATATGGAAAAAGAGACAAAAAAAAAAATAAAAATAGAAAAAACTGAACGATCCAATTAAACAAATTGAATAAAAATAAATGATAAAAATGAAAAAAAATTATTAATTTTAAAACAAGAAATATTTAATATTAAGGAATTTAAAAACCAGACAATGAAAAAAAAAATAAATATTATAAAAAATATATATAAAAAATCTATAAAATTGATTTTTGATATTGACAATTATTTTTAATTAAATAATTAATAATTTATTAATAATAATAATAATAATAATAATAATAATAATTCATCAATAATTCATTTTTTTATTCATTTCTGAAAAAAGAATGCCGAAAATATTCAAATAATCCAGAGCCAAAGAATCTTGAAAAATAGGACAATGCAAATATATTTAAAATTAAAAATATTACAAGGACAAATATATTATTAAATTTAATATTTTAAAATTTCAAACTGAAAAATATAATATCGAAATAAAAAAAGTGTAGAAAAAATAAAAAAATTAAAACATTATATAATTTTTACGATAACAGCAAAATATATACTTTCTACAAATATGGAAACTTAAACTGCAGCAGATCCCGTAAATGTCCGGACCACTCACAAAAATGGGAAAAACTCCAATAACGGATTCAGAGAATTGTTTTGACGGTCTTTTTAAATGACAGGATCTATTTAACCTTATGGATGGCATTTAGACAATATCGACCCATTTTTTCCACCAATAAAATTAAAAATGTTCTTTTCTAAATAATATTATTATTGAATTTAATGTAAAATGGGGATATTTCAATTTACATCCAAGTCTCCTGTCCACCATTATCATCAATCTGGGTTCAATATGATTATAAATATTTATTTAGGTAGGCTTCTTTCTGTTTTGAACTTCTAAATACCACATGAAATCCCACTCAGACCTTCAAAATACCAAAGACTGGGATGTAGCGTTAAATGGGGGCTATTCTAAAACTTTAACATACTTGTATTCCGTCTATTGGATTGGATTGGACTCGCTATGTAGGACTCATTTTGAAATATAAAACTTTTTTTTTTTTTGAGTTGATGTTTTATTTGGTGAGAACATTAAAAACCACACTAGAGCCCCTTCGTTTGGAAAATCAGGAGGCACTGCTATATTGGGTCTACATTAAATATTCAATGCAGGGAGTGTTAACATTCTCTTAGAAACAGAATCTCAAATTTCCGATAAAGGAATTGACAAATAATCCCGAAGTCATCGAAATTCGTAGGGAGGAGACAACCATACGATGTGTTTACCAAATATTAGATATTTGCTCAACATTTTTTCGAAAGAGACTTCTTACCCAATGAGAACCCGCAATGCAAAATTACAGCTGATGATGATTAAAAACGGAGGCTAAGTCTCCAAAGTAACAAAAATTGGGTGCCCATTTCATTACCAATCACCTTGAACATAATTCAAACTTTTATGCCAATTTTCAAAGTTTTTTATCTGTGTCCCCTAGCTTAAATTAAACTGGATATTCTTAAATGGCATCACAATTTTCAGATGATCAAAAATTAGGGTATGTCTTAGGAGAATATTGAAATATAAAATTAATATCTGCTCATATTTTTTGCAGTATAGCGATTCTGGCCCTTTTGCGTATGATTGTTGACAAAACTTATACGCCAGGGAATTCTAATGAAAAGAATTATTAATATTTATATATTTAATAATGTTTTCCGATGCTAACAAAGATACCGAATTCGTTATCACCTGCCAAAACTGATGTCAAATGTTAGATTACTACGATAAAAAAATGTGGCCTCTCGATTTCATTAGGAAATTTTTAAATATCCTTAGAATTTTCTTCTGCATACGGGGGTTATTAGGCGAATGTTGAATGACACTTTAATATATCCCCTTCTAATTGTTAAGTATAGCGTTTCTAAACACCCATGCGAATGAGTGTTTACAAAACGTATACGATCGGGAGTTCAAATAATTATAATTTTCACATTCCATATTTCATAGATTTATGACCCGTTCTCTCAGCTTCCAAAAAGAATTATCAATAAATGAAGACATACTCCAAACTTTTGTGCCCAACTTATAAAAAAGAGAAATGCGCTTTGATTTCATTTGCAGATTTTCAAATCGACTTAGAATTGTATATATATATTTATATAGATTATATGAATAATAAATAGACTTTATGGGTTCTAAAACAAATATTATTAGGTGTCACGAGTTAAATCAAAAAACAGTGCGAATAACCGTACTTCATATTGATGGAAACAGCTGGTCCAGAAATCTAGTCTAGTTTAAAAATATCTTTGGATAATTATTTCATTTAAAAGTAAAAACTGATATATTATAAAATACAATAATTAAAAAAAAACAGATTTTTTTCATTTAAAAAAAAAAACTTTTATTCATTGTAATTGAAGATAGAAAAGAAAATGTAAAGAAAGGATAAAATTTACCACCACCACGTGAGCTAAAGGTTAAGCTCGTTAAAGACCCATGTTTAAAAAATTTTTGTTTAGAATCTGTGGGGTTGACTTTAGGTTGTTACGACGTATGAGTATTATAAATAACGAAATCTAATCAACACGTATACGCGACCTTAAATCATACGTGTTGTTACTACTCAATATTTAAAGTCTGAAAAAACCGTATACCTTATTTCTATTGTCTAATGAAACATTATCGCAAATTTAAATGCCGGTAATATCGAAAGTAATATAAATGGATGTGATAATTTCTCAAAAATAATTGAAAAAATATTTTACGAACACAAAATCAATAAATACAGAAAAACAATAAATATTCGAAAACAATCCAAAAAATATCAGCTAATTTAAATATAAAATATATAAGTGCCGCGATATATAAATGAGTGAAAAAAATTAAATTTATGTCTTTTTTCCGAATCTCAACAGAAGGATCTTTTGAATACACGGGAAGAATCGCAACACCATCAAAATGCAGGTGTTTGATAACACTATGGTAAGTATTTAAAAAATACATATAAGAAATAATAAAATAATATTTATAAGAAATAATGAAATAAATTTGAGAAAATAATATTAATATAAACATACGAAAAAAAAATGGCCAAGGGGAATAATTTCATTAAAAAAAGTAATTTTATGTTTTGGGTAAATTAATATATTAATTAAAATAATAAATAAATAAAAAAATAATTAATTAAAATTAAGCAAACTTATTACTCGGGGAGTATTGGATTCAAAATTAAATAGGTTTTCGTCCATAAAAAATAATAATTATTATTAGTATTATTTTTTATTTTATTTTTTTTTTTATTTATTTCTTTTTTTCTAACTTTTTATTTATTTATTTTTATTTATTAGGTTTTTATTAAATAGGTTTTCGTCCATAAAAAAATAATAATTATTATTAGTATTATTTTTTATTTTATTTTTTTTTTTTATTTATTTCTTTTTTTCTAACTTTTTATTTATTTATTTTTATTTATTTAAATTTTTATTAATTTTTATTTATTTATTTATTTATTTATTTATTTATTTATTTTTTTTTTTTTTTTGAAAAAAATATTCTTCTGGATTTAGTATTTTTCTTTCGAATTCACCTATATATCTTCATACAGAATCAGGGTCTAAAATAATTCCAGAATCAAATCCATTTCCCTAACTCCCATTTCCTTTCCCCCATCTTCAATGTTTTTGGACATTTTTTGGGCATTAGTCTCCCACAGTCAAGGTCGTTGCATTTGACTCCACTTCAACTCATTCCATTAGCAATATTGTCTAGAATTCATCGCAATACAAACGTATAGAATAAATATGTACATATTTTGCAGATTTTATAAGAAAGCTATTTTGTATTTCTTAAAATACTTTGATGATTTTCATAATCAAAAAAAAAAAAAAAGAAAAAAAAACGTACAGAAACAAAACTTGCCAAAGACAAAATAAAAACAGCAAAGCACATAAATTATAAATTTTCTTGGGTGCAAATTATTATTAGAAGACCTATGGAAAACAGAAAAGTATTTTGTTTGTTTTCCAAACAAAAAAAGAAACTCAGAGAACCCACCGCAGAAAGAAAAAATCATTCACCAGCACCAGTTTCAGTCAAAACAATACAAAACTTAGAAGAAAAGAAAAAAATACAACAAGACGAAACGAAAACAAATCAAACATAAATCCAAAAATATTTAGAATAAAATAGAACAAAAAAAATATATATTGCACTTTTGGAATTTTACCAAGTTAATATACACAGAAGCAGACGAAGAGACAAAGTGGCAAATGAGCTAGAATTATTTTTGGAGCAAACATTTTTCTAGAATGTTTTTTTTGTTCTATTCAAAATTTTTTTCATAATAGATGGAAATGAAAATTTCCCTGGATTTGAAAAATTTGGTGTCCATTTTTTTATTTCTCAAGAACTGTGTAAAATTTCAAATTAGCAAAAGAATTATAGATGTGAGAGCAGAGACCATAAGAGAGGGGGAAAGGGGGTGTTAAATTATCTAATTTTTGTTTTATGTTGGCCCGTATTATCTAAATCAAGCATTTGCAAACAAATGACACAGATTTACAAAATTAGCCAACCACAATAGAAATGTGTAATCTCGGGGAAGTATTGGCAATTGTGTGCGGAGACCACAAGAAGCATATAACCTTAAGGTCAAAATTCTGTAAATAAAGAAGAAAAATGCTCGTTAGAATTGTTTTTATATTTAGTTTCATGAAAATCGTGTCATTACACGTGTCTCATCATTGGCTGTAATTATTGCATCCGGTGGCGTATGAGTGTTGCCAACAAGTATACGATTCAATTTGGTGACCTGGACGTATGAGTTATGGTCACACGTATACGTCTGCATTAAAAAAGGACGTTATATGTTGTTTTCATTTCCATTCCAATTAAGTATTGGGACTATAGGAACTGAAGGCCAAGAAGTACTGTCTTGGATAGAGTATGGAAGGCTTAAAAAGTATATTTGATATATTCTTTATTTTATAAATATCTATATTTTTTTTACACCTTGAAAATATATCGAAAAGATATCCAACCTCTTGAAAAAGCTCGATAGTAAATTGACATTACAATTTTCTATTCGATAGCGTGGTCCGAACTTGAAAGACTGATCTGTGTAAAATTTTAGCTTCCCATCATCATTCGAATTGACTCTAGCGTGATTACAATAGACGGGCGGACAGAGCTAAATCGTCTTAGAATTTTACGCTGATCAAGAATATATATACCTTATTAGGTGTAAAATTATAATTTGGATGTGTTACAAACGGAATGACGAACTTTATATACCCTCCATTCTATGTATGGTCTACAGTCAGATTAATGAGAATATTTATAGGACCTAGTGGCGTATGAGTATTGCCATCAAGTATACGCTTTTATGCAATTCAAAAGCTTTAGGTTTTCGTTAACCTGTGTGATAGTAGTTTTTCAGCGGATTTTTAACTTAATTATCTCTACGAATAATATAAAATTTTCTACCAGGCCCTTAAATAGGCAGTACGGAAAAAGGAGTCCAAAAATCCATAGCATATTGAAATTGCTAACCAAAAGTAATTTACAGCTAGAAAATATTCTGACAATTGAAAATTACTATTTTCACAGCAACCATACGCCAATATATAAGTATATGTCAATGTATAAGTATACGCCAATATATAAACGTTTATTGAAATCTTTAATCAAAATAGGACAATGAATATTGACGACATGCTTACGGTCATAGATCAAACCAATTATTTCTTCACGTGAATAAAACCATCAGCTTTCAAAATGGGGTGTATTGACGTATGAGCACTGTCAATAAGTATACGCTGCTGTTTCCATATTTTTGAGCAAGAAATATACGACTCGGCATTTTAAGGTATTTAAATGGTTATTCCCATTTTCATTCCAAAATTATGAAAGTACTTTAAGAAGGTAACAAAATTATAATATTTTGTGGCGTATGAATATTGACGACATACATACGACAATATTTTAAAATGTTCATCTCGACATGTATTTCCTCACGTTAAAGTTATAAGGTTTCATAGTGGAATATTATGACGTCTGAGCATAAGTATAAACGTATAAACAAGTATACGCTTCACCATTTTATGGAATTGAAAAGTTCAAGTGTTTAATGACAAAAAGAAAATCGCTTCGAGAAGCTAAGAAAATACTATATGGTGAGGTATGAGTATTGACGCCATACCTATGGCAATATTTTAAAACGTATACGTCCAGGTCACTTCAACAATTATTATTTCACGTGAATAATTATTCTCCTTTCATAATGGGCTGGGGGTGACGTATGAGTGTTGTCAATAAGTATACGCCGATATTTATTTACATATTAGTGTGGGCCAGCAAATATACGTCTTAGGATCTTACATTATATTTAAAATCTTATTTCAATTGTTTAATCACAATTTATTTGTATCGGGCGCTGAATGTGAATAAAAATGTGTATAAAAATCAATCAACAGCACAGTAACCAATGTAAAATGATGGAAAGAGAAGACCATTGAGTTTTGTCCAAAGCTAAGCATTTTTTTTTTTTTTTTTTTTTTTTTTTTGAGGATTTGTGGCGATAACTGATATATTCAAAATTAAAATAATAAAAGGGTAAAGATTTTGTATTATAGAGGCGTATGAGTGTTGACATCTTGTATACTGCTATATTTCAAAAAAATATATGTGCCCCATTTGTTCATAGGAATTCGAAGCTTATACCATTGTTTATTGACAATCTATGAGAGGAAAATAAAAATATACGACAGTTCTATGTTTATATATAACCAAATTTTAACTTGGGTCCAATTCAATAATTATTTAGCATGCACAAAAAACAGATTTTTTTGTATTTTTTTTTTTTATAAAATTTCTATCAACCTTCACCGAAAACCCTTGCTCATTTACCTCCTGCCCATGGAGAAGCATTTTTAAACGGAAGAGTCGATGATTTTCTGATCGAGTCCACAGGATACCCCTGAATACACCGTCAAAAAGTCCACAGACACGCATGTAAAGAATTGGATTTTTTTACGCTGACCTGGCAGAACTATGCAAATTGTCATTGTAAACATTGATAAATATTGCAATGGCGAAATTATGTTTGATTTTATACAATTTAAGTGGAAAATGAAGCTTAAAGCGATTATAAATTGAAGACCATTTGAGAGAAGAACACAAACAAAACCCCACAATTACTAAAATTATTTCCTTAATTTTCCAATTTCAGAAATAATTTTGGAGTAGATTTTTTTTCTCAGATAGACCTGAAGTTAAGATAATTCAAAAAATAAACAGTTGGTATGTTCCCGAACTGCAAGAATGCAATAACCGATTTTTGATATTTATTTCAAAAAGATATTTCAAAAAGATTCCTGCAGATTCTTGAATAGAGAAATTATGACATACATACCTAAGTAAGAACTTATTTTTACAATATTTTTATAGGCTTGTGTTTTCAGGAATTTATCATAATTTTCAAAAAAAAAAAAAAATGTTGAATAAACAAAAAATGTTTAAATAAAAAATGGGAACATACATTAATAGAATACGAAAAACTGAAAATGAACATTTTTTCAAAATATCAATATATTAATGAAACTTCACAAGGCAAGAACTGACAGAACGAGTATTAAAATGCTTTTGCAATGTTTTAGGGAGTTCTTAAGTATTGTCTTATCTTTTTTTTTTTTTTTTTTGTCTTAATATAGAATCGAAAATCTCAATGGTTAAGCTGTTATAGGCCAAAATATAAAAAAGGCAAATTTTCTATATTTTCGACATTTTTTCACATTGAAAACAAAGATTTTTCCGAGTAACAAATCATGAGAAATTTAAGGCCAGGAAAATAAATCGAAATTTTAAATAGTTTACGAGATATGAGCCCTGAAGAAAATTACATATTTTCAACAAAAAACATAATTAAAAAAAATTGTAAAATTTTTTATATTTTCCAATGTTTGAGCATGAAAACGAAATTCCTTGTAGGTAATAATTTTAGAGAAATTTTAGCCCAAGATAAAAGCTCCAATAGGTTCTTTGAATGCAAGTCAAAATTTTGTATAGTTTACGAAACATAAGCCGAATAAAGCGAGTAACAAATCATGAAAAATTTAAGGCCGGGATAATTGCAACAAATTTATTTTTGAAAATAAATCAACATTTTAAATAGTTTACGAGATATGAGCCCTAGAAAATTTTCATATTTTCAAAAAAAAAAAAAAAAAAACAAAATTAAAATTGTAAAATTTTGTATATCTTCGAATGTTTGAGCATGAAAACGACATTTTTTGTAGGTTATAGTTTCAGAGAAATTTTAGCCCAAGATAATAGCTACAGATCTTCTTTGGAATGCAAGTCAAAATTTTAAATATTTTACAAACTATTAGCCGAATTTTTATTGATATCTTCCTTAATGGAACAAAAATGACCTAAGGTCGTATAGGTATTGACAATACGTGTTATCTTTTTTTTTTCAAAATTACAAGATGAGTGAGAATTGATCGTGAAGTGGTTCCAACTTCATCTGTTCTCGTATAAACTTTGAAAGAAATTGTTGAAGTCGATAGGTAGGCAGATATTCGTATAAGTATTGACAGTAGTTATACGCCCCAAGTTTCAATTCATGATTTTGGACATATGAATATAAATTCTTTCTGATAATGCAAATGGTTTACTAGCATTTGGAATTTCAAAAAAAGAAAATATTGACAATTTGGAACTAATAGATTTGAAAAAAAAAATAAATAAATAAATAAATACGCATCACCGTCATTTAAAAAAAAATACTGTCGACCGGCTAATGGCTACAACTGTTGCTAATTTTTTATTTCAAAAAAGAAAAACGAAAGCTAAACTAAGAAAAACCTCATCACATGAAATCAAAAGTGCCAAGAAACAAATCGATTAGTGAGACAAGGTTAACATGAATGACAAACAAACAAAAGGAACAGACAACGATACACATCTCAAATTAAGAAAGAGGAAGGGGAACCAAACACCAACTGATTGATGGCAAATTTTCAATGGTTGTTTCCCCTCTTTCCTCCACCTCCTCGCCACTCATTTCAAACACAAATCGCTGTGGCTAAATTTACTTTCAACACCGAATGCCAGTGGATCACTGAGTTTCGCATTGCCCCAGTTTGGGTTATTTTTAGACGATTAGCCTAGGCTAATGGAAAATTATTGAAATGAAATCAAATTTTAAAATGCTGGCGATAATTTTAATTTATGATTTCCTAAAATTACAACATTTGCAGTGAGCAGTGTCACAAGTTAACGTCAATGGCTGTCAGATGTGATACTCAAAATGTCGTGAATGTGTCAGGCACTCAATTCATAATTTTTTTTCTGTTTTTCTTTTTTTTGACTGACCAATTTGGTAATCGGCCAAAAATTATATATTTGTAATTAGTTTTCGGTTTTTTTTTTTTTTTTTTTTTTTGTAAATTTACATGCTCTTTTTGCTCTTCTTCTTGACGTTTTGCCATTAATGAATATTCCCGGTATTTTTTTTTTTTTTTGTGGTTTTGTAATGGTGGCGTTAACAATTGAGTGCCAAGGAAATTATGGTCTCAAAATTAAATCGATTTAATTTAAAAAAATGACAAATTAATGACTAAAATAAATATTTCTGGAGTTACTGTACCAAAAGGTTCTGTCGATGAACAAAATAATATTGGATAATTAAGTCGCAATAATATAAGAAATTCCATAAAATATAAATACAGGGTGAGATAAAAAAACTTCAACAAAGTCAAACTCCCTAATATTAATTTTTGTACCCTCCACCGCACTATGGAGGGTATATTATCTTTGTCATTCCGTTTGTAACTCCTCGAAATACTCATGTCAGACCCAACAAAGTATATATATTCTTTATCAGCGTAAAATTCTAAGTCGATTTAGCAATGTCCGTCCGTCTGTGGAAATCACTCTAGCTTCCGAAGGAAATGAAGTGGATTGCTAAATTTTTTCTCAAATGTATGTTATGTCTTCAGGAATTTTGGTAATGAAAATGGGCCATGTAGATCCACGTTTTGATATAGCCCCCATATAACGGTACCTCCCGATATTCCGTATTTTAATGATTTTAGCGAATTTATTTACCAGAATTATTTCAAATTTGGTATTTGAAGTTCGTAATGGATACTACAGCCTATGACAGAAAATTGTCTGTGCAGGTCCAGGTCCCGCATAACGGTACCTACCTATATGCGGTTTTTTTAATGTTTTTAGCGTCATTATTCACCGAAGTAGTTTCAAATTACGTAATTAGAGCTCGTAATAAGAACCACAGTCTATGACAGAGAATTGTCTATGCAGATCCAGGTCTTCGCATAGGCCCCACATATCGGCACATCCCTATATTCAGTATTTTGAGGAATTTAGGTACATTATTCACCGGAGTTGTCTCAAATTTCATATTTAGAATTCGTAATGGGTGCTACAGACTATGACAGAAAATTGTCTATGCAGGTCCAGGTCTTTGTATAGGCCCCACATATCGGTACCTACCTATATTCAGAATTTTGAGGATTTTAAGTACGATAATCATCGAAATTGTTTGAAATTTCGTATTTGAAGTTAGTAATGGGATCTACAGTTTATGGCAGAAAATTGTCTATTCAGGTCCTGGTCTTTGTATAGGCCCCACATATCGGTACCTCCCTATATTCGGTATTTTGAGGATTTTAGGTACAATATTTACCGAAATTGTTTGAAATTTCATATTTTAAGTTCCTAATAGGTACTACAAACTGCGACAGGGAATTGCCTCTGCAGGTCCAGGTCTTCGTATTGCCCCATATTCCATATTTTGATTATTTTAGCTACATTATTAACCGCATTTTGTAAGATGATAAGATTATGAATAAGTTTGAAAATATTCTAATTAAGTTGAAGTATAGATGGCGCTCATCATCACTTGTAAGAAATGTTTGGTTTAGTTTCCTAGGCTTTTAAATCAAAATAAATACATAAATACAGATTTTTAATTGGATTGAATATTAAATTTATAAAATTTATTATTGTATACCACTGAGAAATAATACCGAACACGTTTTAGATATACTAATTCAATTGAAGTGTAGATGGCGTCAATAACTATGTACCACGGAAATGTTGGTTCGTTCCATAGTCTCATGGTGGATATTTTTTTTTTTTACATAAAGAAAGGTTAAAATAAGCTTGGGTAAATATTTTTAAACATTTAAATACTTTCCTTTTAAATCATTAAATATTTAATGTCACCAATTCGAAATCATCACATTGCCTTGCTTAACTTTCAAATCAAACAAAAAAAAATATCTATTTTTAAAATGGAAAAATCTCTCCTTGGCCATTATCTCCAAGAGCATAACAAACAGGGGAAATCAAAATTTCCCCCCACCCCAACCCCCAAAACAATTGTTTATTTTTAGTAAATAATTTTATTTTCTCCTTTTCTTTTCAGCGACGTGCCTCACGCCGTGCCTCCCTGAGACGTGGCTCCATTTCAATGTTGCCCCAAAAACAATCCGAAATTCCATGGGACATTTTGGAGCGTCTTGCTATGCCATTCCTGTTCTGCCATGCCGCGGCCGTTGTCATTTCAAATGTTTTGCATGTCTTTGACATCTCCCATGTATCGACATTTGCTGTGTTTGTGTGGTTCGCCTTGTCGACAGTCGGTGCTGTATTGTTTTATCATTTTGTCAAGGTAAGTGGATCGTGGGGAGCGAGGGAGCGAGGAGGGAGGAGGGAGGAGGTAGACAATTAGCTATACATTAAAGCAAAGTGGTCTTCACTTGGTACAGATGAAGTTCAAATTCACAGAAAAATTAATAAAACTTGGCCCTGACTTGAATTCCGCCTTGGTCATCATTTAGGAGAACAATAAGGCAATTATGAGCCAGATGATGATGAGAATGTCGGAGATGATGGCCACAAACGAGGACAAGTTGTTGTGTTAATTAATAATGGAAAATCATTAGCTTAGTTTATTAGGTTTTTGGCCATCAACAATTTGTTCTCCAAAAAATCGGAAAATTAAATTTATTTCAAAAAATTTCTCGGAATTTTGGACAAATTTTGAAAAACAAAAATTCCCTTCATTTAAAGCATCACATGTCCTCTATATTTCCTTTTCCGGACTATAGTATAGCATCGTTAGCTTAGTTTATTAGGTTTTTGGCCATCAACAATTTGTTCTCCCAAAAATCGGAAAATTAAATTTATTTAAAAAAAAAAATTCTCAGAATTTTGGACAAATTTTGGAAAATAAAAATTCCCTTCATTTAAGGAATCACAGGTCCTGTATATTTCCTTTCGGGACTATAGTATAGCATCGTTAGCTTAGTTTATTAGGTTTTTGGCCATCAACAATTTGTTCTCCCAAAAATCGGAAAATTAAATTTATTTCAAAAAATTTCTCGGAATTTTGGACAAATTTTGAAAAACAAAAATTCCTTTCATTTAAGGCATCACATGTCCTATATATTCCCTTTCGGGACTGTAGTATAGAATCGTGTAGCATATTGTAAGGCGTTTGCTTTCAGATAATCCATTGTGTGAGGTGCCTTAAAGTATGCTATAAAATGTAGAAAATGTAGCTTAACATAAGACTACAACATTATGTGGATACTAGTCTTTACCTTTTCCCAAACAAATCATTTTCCTTGACTAATTCCCGTCTAGCCTAGCCTAACTAAACCAAAGCTCTCCTCCTTCTCATCTCCACAGAATACTCCAGCTGCTGTCATAATTAAAATACAGAAAAAAAAACTTCTTTTTAATTAGAAAACTTTTTATTCCGGCGCAGCAGACCATAAACAGAGACTAAACATCCGAAATCACCTCTCATTTTTTTCTGGCGAGTTTTGATTGCCATTTTCCATTAGCATTCGCCGGTTAATAAAAAAAACCCGCAGAAAATCTTAAGCAAACTAAGTCCTGCGAATATGTTTTAAAGTTTTCATTTTCCTTTTTCACCCTACCACCACCCCCTCCCTCGTTGGAGGATTTTCATTCCTCTTCCAGTGGCCACATAAAGCATTTGCTCACGCACACATTTACATTACAATGGAATTTGACACTCTATTAGTATCCGGTTTTTATGGTTAACCGCAACATAATCTCATGCTTAAGGACAGCATGGTTGGTGACCACCAAAGCAAAGAAATGGGAAAATAAAACAAAAGCCTAAAAATAAAAATAACCCAAAATAAGGACAATGAAATATGAGATGTTTTTAAGGCGCCCATCCACCCTCCTTTTTTGATTTTGGAGATATGGTGGTGATGGTTGACCAAATATTAAATCTTCTATGCAAAACAGAGCCTAAAGGGGAATTATATTTAAATTTTTCGCCTTAAAGTATGCAACATTGTTGGGTAATAGCTAGTGGGGTCAAGGCAAAAAAAATATGAAAAGATGACAATTATGTAAGGTAGGGGGGACAAAAGACCTTCAGAAAGAAAGAAAGGAAAGAGGGACAAAAAACGTTCAAAAGGTTTTTTAATGACCGAAAATCTTTCAAAGGTATAAAATAATCAGAAAATCGGCCGAAGGTATTTCATAAACCGCAGAGCTTCAGAAATTATTTTTTATACGTCCACAAAGTAAAGTCCTTCTGAGTTATAGATGGCGCTTGGCATTGTGTGCCAGGAAGATTTGGTTATTTTCGTAGGATTCTTGGATAAAATATACATTTATAGTTAATTGAGTGAAGTGGAGAATGGATTTTGAATGTCAATTTTTTGAAAATAAGTTTAGAATAATTAATAAAAGATTGTGTGAAAAATAAAGCATAATCTAAGGCTAAGTTTCTCATTTCAGGTATAGATGGCGTTATTTGTTATGAGCAAGACATTTTGGTTAGTTTCATAAAATTCTATGGCAAAATTTATTAATTAAGGGAGAACTGAGAGAGGTTAATACATTTAATTGGAATATGCAGTTTTTGAATTAATTTACATACCCACAGAGAAAAATCTATGTATCGTTTAGGATATTATTATCAAAATTTAAGTGTAGATGGCGTTTGAAATTATGTGCAAGGGAGGTTTGATTAGTTTTTTAGGGTTGTAGGGCAAAACTGACACATAAAGAGAATCTGGCGTGAAGTTAATAACTTGAATTTAAAAATTTAATTTTTTAAAAATTTATATAGCACAGAGAAATAATTGTGAAAATTTGAGGATATACTTACTGTACTGAAATATAGATGGCGTTACTCAGCTGTGCAAGTTAGTTCTATTTAATGTTGAAGCCTTCTGAGATCAAATTTAATTCAAAGATTTGATTTCATTGAAGTTAAGCAATTGATTCTAGAGATCTTCATTTTGAAAATCTCCTAAAGAATGAAGATGACCAAATGCCTTCCAAAGATCTTCTATAGACGTGGAAGAAAGACTTTCCTTCTGATAATCCATTCCGATGGCTTTCTATGTGAGAAAAGTCTTAGAAGACGAAAGATCTCCTGAATAATTTTTATTTACATAAGATTTTTGAAGATCCTTTACAGATCCAAGACCTTTTAAAGGTTCTCTATATACAAAAGAACTCCTTAAGCTGTTCTGTATGTAGATCTTCTGAAAGTTAGGATGGAAGGTTTCATTACACTATTTCATGGACCAAATAAGCTCTCTTCTTTAGAGAGAAGATCTGCTGAAGATCTTCTTTAGACCAATAACCTATTGAAGTTCTTTTGTGGTCAAAAGATCTTTCGTTTTAGACAGATGCTCATCTGAAAAATTCATATCGCCCAAACAACTCTCAGACACTTGTCTTCAATAGGCCAAACTTAAGACAATCAAAAATATGACCTTCTGAAGGTTTTACATAGTAAACTAGCTTTCCCCATTGAACTAAGGAACTCCCTGTGAACTGGAGGAATTCCTGAGGGTTGGCGAACTCTAACTGATCCAACCTATTTGGAACTAGTAGAGTCCCAATGGGCTAAAGAAATCCCAATGATTTGGTGAACTCAAGATGAACTAGGGATTTTGAAATAAGTTTAGAACAAACGGAACAACTGAACTTTCATTGAACCGATGAACATATAAAAAACTTCGAAACTAATAGTGAACTGATGAGTTCATAGTGAACCAACGTCATACCACTGAGCAGGTGAGGTAAACTGCCAGTGAACTATAGAACCACCAGTGAGCTAGTGAACTTCCAGCGAAGTAGTGAACTCCCAGTGGGCTAGTGAACTCCCAATGAGATAGTGAACTCCCAGTGATTTACTGAACTCCCAGTGAGCTGGGGAACTGCCAGTGAGCTGGGAACTCCCAGTGAGCTAGTAAACTCCCAGTGAGCAAACGAACTTCCAGTGAGCAAGTAAACTCCCAGTGAGCTATTGAACTCCCAGTAAGCTATTGAACTCCCAGTAAACTATTGAACTCCCAGTGAGCTAGTGAACTCCCAGTGAGCTAATGAACTCCCAGTTAACTACTGAACTCCCAGTGAGCAAGCGAACTACCAGTAAGCAAGCGAACTCCCAGTGAGCTAATGAACTCCCAGTTAACTACTGAACTCCCAGTTAACTACTGAACTCCCAGTGAGCTAATGAACTCCCAGTGAGCAAGCGAAATCCCAGTGAGCTAGTGAACTCCCAGTGAGCTAGTGAACTTCCAGTGAGCTAGTGAACTCCCAGTGAGCTAGTGAACTCCCAGTGAGCTAGTGAACTCCCAGTGAGCTAGTGAACTCCCAGTGAGCTAGTGAACTCCCAGTGAGCTAGTGAACTCCCAGTGAGCTAGTGAACTCCCAGTGAGCTAGTGAACTCCCAGTGAGCTAGTGAACTCCCAGTGAGCAAGCGAACTCCCAGTGAGCAATCGAACTCCCAGTGAGCAAGCGAACTCCCAGAAAGTAAGCGAACTCCCAGTGAGCAAGCGAACTCACAGTGAACTTGTTGTGTACCGATAAACTCGATGAAAAATTGAGAACTTTTTGCGACCTGTTGAGTTGCTAGTGAACTAATAAGCCCATAGTGAGCTTTCGAACTCTCATAGTGAACCTGAGAACATTTCCCTGTACTATGTTTAGCTTCAGATTCCTTAATTTCCAGCTAATTCCTTTATTGCTCTTCCTTTTTGACTTTTTGGCATTCTTGCCCCTTACTTTTTAAGTTTTAGCCTCGTTTCCTGGACATTAAAGTTTAAATCTCTGCTAAAATAATGACCATGGACATTGATGGCGGATTTTCCCTTCCTTTTTTGCCTTATTATTCACAAAGCAGCAGCTCACAATTCTTAAGTTAATGGTGTTTCCGGTCATGTCAATGTTTGATGTATATACTTTTGAATCTTTTTCGCTTCATTCAAAAAAAAAGGGGAAAGGGAGGAAAACACCCACCCTCCATTTTCCCCCCTCTAACCCCCCTAATTTCTTCTGAATTTCTTAAGTTACATCTCTGATTTCTGATATTTCAGTTCTTCTCCCTCCTTTTTTCCATTCCTTATTTACTGATTTTCTCCATTTGGATCCCCCTTATCCCCACACAACCTTGTCCCAAGCATAGTTTGGGTTACATGAAAACAATAAGTGAAAGCAATAAAAAAATTGTGTAGTTGTACACACACACACTTGCAAACAAATAAATTTCGCATTCATTTGCTGCTTGGCCTGTCCTGCTCTGCACTTGCAAGAGTAGATAATAAACCTTGTAGCTAAAAATAGCTACAATACCAGGAGCTCTCACTTTATGGTGTTGGCCAAGTTCAGTTGTGTCGGTGTGTGTGTTGGGTAAATTCTGTGACAGCAGAGTCCACTTGGTGAGCTGGGGAATAGCCAGTCAGTATGGTATGACCAGGGAAACTTAAAACCACATACAATCAATGTCAGAGCATTACAATGGTCGGATGGCTGACTGGCTGGCAGGTTAGCTGTTGTTTGCCTAGCTGCTGCTGCTGGTTATATTGTTTCTAATGATTGTCTCTTCGTTACACATTTGATCTGCACCAGCCAAGGGTTTTGGAATGGCACAACACTTCGTCCTGTTGCCTTTGTTTTGTTTTCGCTTTCCTGGTCTCTGGGCAACATTACAATTACCAAAACACCTCATGGATGAAGCATCAGTGGAAAAAAGGCGCTCTCTCACACAGATGAAGATGGGAGAGAGAAAAAAAGAGCCTTCTCACTTTCCCCCTCCAATCCCCAATCCGCATTTCTCCATCAAATGGAAATCATTTTGTTGCTGTTCGAAATGAACTTGTCTCACCGCCGTCATACCAATATCACAGGCACGCAACCAAATGCACAGCAGAACATCAATTTTATTACCTTTTAAGGCCAATACGTGTGTGTTAGATGATTATATGCACGTCTGAGCATGATGATGTTGCATATGTGTGAATGCGAGTGAGGGTGTGTGGGTGTAGTGAGGCAGTAGCAGTAGTAGCATTTTATGTTTTTTTCCTTGGTACATCTCCCAAGCGGAACATCGGGGAGGGTTATTTTTGGAGGACTATTCGAACAGGCATAATTTGGTTTTTCTTAAACCTCTAACTTCCTGAAGCCATTCTGAACTCTTGAACGCCCAAAGAATTAATTCGATCTAAGTGAAGGGTCCAACTGCCTTCCCTGTCTTCCGAACCCTGAGCAAATGAAAAAAACGTTCAAAAATTGCCTGGATAAGGGTGTAGGTGAGGGTTACGGGTGTGTGTGTATAGGAATTGAGTAGCAGTAGTAGATTTTTATATTTTTTTTCCTTGGTACATTTCCCAAGCGGGACATTGGGGAGGGTTATTTTCGGATGACTATTGGTCGAGGAAAAACTTGGATTTTATTGAACTCCTAATTTCCTGAACCCATTCTGAGCTGTTGGGTGACCAAAGAATCATTTCGATCTTAGTGAAGGGTCCAACTGCCATCACTGTCTTCGGAATCCTGTCTAAACGAAAAAAAAATGTACAAAAATTACCCCCTTCCTCCACCTTTTTACCTACAAGGTTACTGCCTGGGTAAGCGTAGGTAAGGGTTACTGGTGCGTATGTGGCGAGGGATTAGCAGAAGTAGAATTTTATTTTTTTCCTTGGTACATTTCCCATGCGGAACATCGAGGAGGGTTATTCTTGGAGGACAATTGGATGAAGCAAAACTTGGTATTTCCTGAACCCCAAACTTCCTGAAACCTTTCCTAAAACCATTCTGAACTGGTGAGTTGCAGTAGTAGAATTTTATGTTTTTCCTAGGTACATCTCCCAGGCGGAACATTGGGGAGGGTTATTTTTGGAGGACTATTGGATGAGGCAAAAGTTTTTTTTTTAACCCCAAACTTCCTAAACCCATTCAGAACTGGTGAGTCAACCTGTAAGCCCCTCCCTCTTTACCTACAAGGTTACTGCCTGGGTAAGGGCGTAGGTGAGGGTTACGGGTGTATCTCTGTGTAGTGAGGGAGTCGCAGTAGTAGAATTTTATGTTTTTTTTTCCTTGGTATATTTAACAAGCAGAGCATCGGGGAGGGTTATTCTTGGAGGACCATTGGTTGAGGCAAAATTTGTTTTTTTTTTTTTTTTTTGAACCCCTAACTTTCTGAACCCATTCTGAACTGGCGAGCGCCCACCAATGAATAACTTAAATCTAAGAGAACAGTCCAACTGTCTCCCTTGGCTCCCAAACCTATACAAACGAAAAAAAAATCATAAATAACCCCCTTTTCCTCCCCCTCTTTCCAGGTTACTGCCTCCGGCAAAGGTGTCTTGATTACTGGCTGTGAAGCACCCATTGCTTGGTATTTGGCCAAGAAATTGGACGATTTGGGTTTCCATGTCTATGCTGGGTTCAATGTACCCATTAAAGAATGCGAGGAGGCTACCATCCTGAGGGAAGAGACATCGGGACGCATGAAGACCATCTATTTGGATATTACATCGGAGAAGTCGGTAAGTAAAGGAAATCGCAAACGAATGGAAATTAGAATCCAAATAAAAATCGCCTTGGTTCTCCATAGATGTTGGAAGCTGCCATGTTTGTGTCGGAACATTTGCCATTCGGTGCCAAGGGCTTGTGGGCCGTTATCCACTGTGCCCAATGGGTGGCCTTGGGCGAAATTGAATGGTTGCCATTTACAGTATTGCGTAAATCTTTGGACTTGAATTTGTTGGGTAAGAGGAGGCACTTGAATAAAAGAAATTAAAATTTAGACTGATTTTGGTTCCATTTCTAGGTTGCGCTCGTTTAACTCAAATTATGTTGCCTTTAATTCGCGGTGCCCGTGGCCGTGTAATTTTCTTGACTTCCGGTAAATCACTTCTTAAATATTCTGAAAAATTTTCAAAAATTAATAATTTCTTTGGTTTTTAGCCCTCAACAAGATCCCCACCCCTGTACGCAGTGTCCAATGTGCCACCCAGGCTGCCATTGAAAGCTTTGCCGCCTGTCTGCGCCAAGAAATGCGCACCCGCAAGGTTGATGTATCCGTTGTGGCAGCTGGCGAGTTTACACCCGGCAATGCCTGGTTGAAGGAAGACGATTTGCGTGAACAGGCCAAGAAAATGTGGGGACAAATGTCACCCGAACAGAAGAGAGCCTATGGTGAGGATTACTATGAAGCTGCAATGACCTGCATTGAGAAGTATTCCAGAGAGGTGAGTTCGAAAGAGGAAAACCGCATTTTTTTTTTTTTAAATTTAACTTTTATTTTTTTTCTTTCAAGGCTGCCGACATCCAACCCACTGTCCGTGTCCTGATCGATGCCACCACCCGTTCCTTCCCCATGGCCCGCTACACTCCCGTCACACCCAAGGAAAAGTTGCAAATCTTCTTGGCCGAACATTTGCCACCATCCTTGTACGAGGTATTCTATGGTGTTCCAAGGAAATAATTCCGTTAATTTAGGAAGAGATGACGTCATAGCTACAGTGAATTAGATGAACATACACACACATAAATACAATACAATAATTTTATATATTTTTTGTGTTTAAGTCGATTTTGATTTAGAAGAAATACTCAACAATTAACAGCATTTTAGTTAGCATTTATGAGCGAATAATATTTTTTTTAATTCTATTTTTTTGTTATTTATTTAATATTTTTAATTTTTTTCTATGAGAAATATATTTTTGTTAACGACTTTGATTTTTTATAAAAAAAGAGTAAATTAAATTAAAAATAAAGAAATGTAAAATATATGAAATTAATGGAAATTGAAATTTGGAATTTATTTGGTTTACTCTCTCGTCCTCTTCCTTCCTCTCCCTCTCTCTTTCTCTCTATCTCTCTCTTCCTTCCTCTCCCTTTTCCTCTCTATCCCCCTTCCTCCCTATCCCTCTTCCACCCTATTTCTCCTCCTCCCTATCTCTCTTCCTACCTCTCCCTCTTCCTTCCTCTCCCTTTTCCTCAACATCCCCCTTCCACCCTATCCGTCTTTCTCCCTCTTCCTTCCTCTTCCTCCCTACCCCTTTTCCTTCCTCTTCCTCCCTACCCCTTTTCCTTCCTCTTCCTCCCCACCCCATTTCCTTCCTCTTCCTCCCTACCCCTTTTCCTTCCTTTCCCTCTTCGTCCCACTTCCCCCCTACTCCCACTTCCTCCTTCCTCTTCTTCCTCTCTCTTCCTCCTCTTTCTTCCTCCTCTCTCTTCCTCCTCTCTCTTCCTCCTCTCTCTTCCTCCTCCCCCTATTCCTCCTCTTCCTCCAAAATGAAATTTTGAATTTATTTGGTTTACTTATCTCCCTTTTCCTCCCTTTTCCTCCCTTTTCCTCTCTATTTCTCTCTCTCTTTCTCTCCCTCTCTTCCTTCCTCTCCTTATCCCACTTCCTCCTTATCGCTCTTCCTCCCTCTCCCTCTTCCATCCTATATCTCTTCCCTCCTCGCCCTCTTCCATCCTCTCTTTCTTCATTCCTCCTCTCTCCCCCTCTTTCTTCCTCACCCTCTTCCTCCCACTTTCTCCCTCTCCCTCTTGCTCCCTCCTCCTCTCTCTTCCTCCTCTTCCACCACCCTCTCCTATTCCTCCCTCTTCCTCGTCCTCCCTCTTCCACCCACTCCGTATTCCTACCTCTCTTTCTTCCTCCCTCTTCCACCCACTCCGTATTCCCCCCTCTCTATCTTCCTCCCTCTGCCTCTTCCTTCCTCTCTTCCTGCTCCCCCTCTTCGCCCACCCCTCTTCGTCCCTATCTCCCTCTTCCCCCCTCCTCCCTCTTTATTTTCCCCCTGTCCCTATTCTCCCTCCCCCTATTCCTCCTCCCGCTATTTTTCCTCCTCTTTTGTCCTCCTCCTCTTCTGTCCTCTTCCTCTTCTGTCCTCTTTCACCTCTTCCTCCCCCTCCATCTATCTCCCTCTCTCACTCTCTCGGTAACAATTGGCCTACTATATCAACATAAGTCATCTGATTTTTTCCGAAAATTAGAAATATCCGGGAATACTTTTTTTCTTAAAAATTTTTGAAATATTCCTCTCCAATCTCATAACCCTATGGCCCTCTAGACATCCCTACACCTATAGCAATAAAACGCAGTATTCCTTACTACTTTCATTGGAATGCGGCATGCATTTCATGTTTTCCAACACACACACACACTCATACTCACATCCATATACACATGTATGTGTGTGTGTGTGCAATAATATGTATATTTTTGTACAGATTTTATTAGTATTTTATAGCACGGTGATAGAAGAAAATGAAACCAAACGAGAAAAAAAACAGAACGCAAAATAGAAAAATGAAACAAGACACCATCAAGCCGTAAATGAGTTTTATCGCTTTCCATTGCAGCTATATTTCCATGCTCTGCATGGCGATGATGGTCCTCAACAGTCTTGTTGAATATTGCTTTTTTTCAAAATTGCCGGCATATGTAAGCATCAATTTTTATATTCAGTTTTTTGTGCTTCTCCTTCTCCTCCTCTCCTCTGAACGCTTACAAGTAGCATTGTTATTATTAATTCTAGGCACATATGCTTTTAAGGATAGCAAAGAAGAAACAGAAAAAAAAGAGAGTGAAAAGGAAAGAAAAAAATGTTCGGCTAATGTGACCAGAAATAGAAAACCAAGAATGCAGCCTTGAAATAGCAAATTGATTCAATTATTATTCCCTTTTTATGTTTTTATTTTATGTCTATTGTTAAGATGGGAACAGAGAAGAAATGAAAAAAAAATAGGAGACTTCTGGGAGGGTATCAATTTTTAAAAGGTCTGAGAAGGACATTGAGTTATTTTGTACCCAATAAAGTGCTGAAGCGGAATTTTTGATATGAAAAGGGGTTTAGGTACCAGAAGACCTTTAAAGTATCCTTCGACTACAGCACAACTGGGAAAAGTTGAAAAGAGTGTCCTAGGTTTTTGATGAACTGTAGAAACTCACCTTGCCTCAGAAAACTTATAAAGTAGATCCTTAAGCTATATAAGTCCTGTGAACGGGATTCGGACATTAAAATACTTTTAAAGGACATCTAAATAAAGAAAAGGCTATTCGATTTTTTTAAGAGATCTTGAATTGAAGAATGTCCTCTAAAGATTTTTTAAAGATGGAAGATTTTTAACATATGTGAAGATATGCTATAAAAAGAGACTTTTCAATAGTTTTCCATAAAAACACTACCCTTTTCTTCTCATAAAGATAGGAGAACTTCAAAAGTTCTTCATAGGGAAAGAAGCTTTTGCAGATCTTTTACAGATATGAGGCCTTTGTGAGACTATTTTGTATACGAAGAGGGAAAAACTTCCAAAGGTCATCTGTAAAGAGTGAGTACCTCATAAGGGTCTATTATTAATTTTGTAGACAAAGATCTTCCACAGAGAGTTTCTTTGAACAGAAGAACTCCCAGAGATGAAGAGAAGGGGATTTGAGATTTCGAAGAACTGTTAAAACTCTCTATGGCCTTAGAAAACTTATAACGTGCATCCTCAAGCTATAGAAACCCTGTAAAAAGGGGTTCTGACATTAAAATGCAAAGGTCTCTTTCAATGGTCTTCCATAAAAATACAACCTTTTTTTAGAAAAAATAGAAGACCTTCTAAAATTCTTTAAAGAGAAAAAGCTTTTTTAGATCTCTTACAAATATGAGGCCTTTGTGAGACTATTTTGTATGCGAAGAGAGAAGAACTACCAAAATTCATCTATAAAGAGCGAATATTTCATAAAGGGCCTTTTGTTCATTTTGTAGACATAAGGGCTTCCACAGGGAGTTTCTATGAACAGAAGAAATTACAGGGATGAGGGGGAGAGATATTGAGAAAATTTTCGTCAAAAATCCACGTTTAAAGGGACTGGGATCCTTTCGGGAATCTTCTTCAAAAATCCACATTTAAAGGTACTCTGATACTTTAGAGAATCTTCTTCAAAAATCCACGTTCAAATGAAATGGGATCCTTTAGAGATTCTTCTTCAAAAATTCACGTTTAAAGGAACTGGGATCCTTTCGAGAATCTCCTTAAAAAATCCGCGTTAAAAGAAACTGGATCCTTTAGAGAAACTTCTTCAAAAGACCCCGTTCAAAGAGAGTAGAAGGCCTTTGAGAACATATTCTTCAAAACACACACTTTTAAGGTGTAGGGGAGTCCTTGAAAAATATTAGTCCTTACAAAAATATTCTTTGCAGTGATGCAGAAAATCTGCATGATGCTAAGTAGCTGCTGTCCCCTACCTCCTGATGTAGCGGCGCTTGTCGGAAACGGATCCAACCGGTTCCGAAATGTAACTAGCCCCACAAAACTTGAAGATAATCCTGGCCAATCGTGTCAATAGATACCTTGATGGCCAAGCCACTCCCTTCAGTGCTTGTAGTGACGAGACGCCAGTTATCTGTTCTGAGGTTGGGGTTTTGTTTGGCGAGTATCGTCCGAATGCGTGCCGGATCCACCGATGATGGTGGCACCCACGCTGTCAATACATTACGGCAGGGGATCTCCTTCAAGGATAAAGACAGCAAGTCGCACCTTTGCCAACGCTCGTGAAAGCCAGCTACTGTGGTGACCAGGAATTCTTTGGGTTCCTTGTTTTCACAGCAGATGACTTACACGCCTTTGTAAAGCTGTCAAAACTTCTTGGGTTCCCTTCTCCCTAAAAGACCATTTCCCTCAAACGATCTTCGATTATTAGCCATCTACTCTCGCTGATTTTACCTTCGATGACCGCTACTCGAAGATTGTCAGGGTAGATGGTCTGAGAATGCTTCTTCTTTCATCCTGTTGGCTTGTCGATTGTGGCTCGACCGCTTCCTTGTGACCCTTTCCAGGCTTAGAGCTTGTAGGGGCTACCGGAGTCCGTTTGGTCACAGACAGACAGAATGGGAGTTATATGTGTTTGCTGGGAGTCCTAAACCGTTGGTGGCTTCTTGGCCTCAGGATGTGGTTCCTTCGTAGAGATGTGGTTCTTTCGTAGACCGACCTCTCTTCGACGCCTAGCGGAAAGAGTTGTCGGTTTCTCTCGAAACTTTCGAGGCTGCAACCATCTCAGGCTCTGAATTCTCTGCCTTAGGCCTCCGGCTTTTCATGGCAGGAGGATTTGACTCAGCGGGGTCAGCATCCGCCTCCGTCGTAGGAACGGCTCTCTCTCTCTCTCCGTATGATGTTTGGTTGGCATTCCAAATTGTGACCCATTTTAGGCGATGTACCAAAGGACATTTATTAAAAATCCGCATTTATTATCTCAAAGGATGGAGTGCTTTTCTTATAAAAATCCTTTATTTGACTCTCATTTTCGCCAACAATTTTCCACTGTCCATCTTCTCTATTTCTCTCCCTATCGTCATCTTCAGCCACTTCCATTGTCGCTCTGGTCGTTCTTAATTAAATTTGCCAATTTGCACTTAGTGACAGATTGGCCATAATTAGCCATTGGCTTAATAACGATAAAGGATGATACCTCTACTTAAGCGTTAATACGAAATGTGATTGCAACTGGACGAAGAACAATAAACCGGGCGAGGGATACAACGACCTGAGTTCGAGAGACGGAGAAAATCCCACACTACGGTTCACTAAATTATGCTCCCACTCACTGGTACTCACTCACGTTAATCTCAAGTGATTTAGACGGGTTTGGTTGGTTGGCTGGCTGCTTGGTTGGT